CGAGTTGTTACATGAGGCTACGCCCTTGACGTAACACGGGACCTAGGATCACGAGCGACCCCAAGCTAACCCTGAGTCTGGCATATCACAAGCATACTAAAAATAACTATGTAAAACATAAACTATGCGGAAGCTAAATCAATAGATATCTGAAGAAGAAAAACCCCAACTAGTCTAAATGTAAATATAGCACAATGTACGAGTATTAGTGAACACTGAAACAACACTTAACAACTCTCAAGCTGAATCTACTCATATATCTGAAAAGCCTCTAACTGAGTTGAGTTGCTGGGACATGCCCCCAACTAACTCTAACAAAACTGAAAACTGAAAATAAAGACTAAAATAGAACGCATGTCTATTGTCCTCAAAATATGAGGACTCACCCTTGAAGTTGCTGAATGCGGACCAAAAATCAATTTATGCATGATTTGGATGCTGAGTACCTGAACCTACATCATGAAACGATGTTGCGCAAAGTATGCATCATTGCTTGGAATGTACTGAGCATGCATGATATAGATACTATGCTGAATAAATTATATAGGCTGAACAGCGCATAACTGAGCAATGATATAATCTGAAACAAGATATAGATATGTACTGAAGTATAACTGAAAAGAACTGAACTGAATGCAATGACCAAGTACTAATCATGAAAGTAACATGCTGAACTGAAAGCTGAAGTATATGCTGAATACCTAGTCAAATGCACTAAGAATCTGACTGTGGGAGCAACTATTAACCGACATAAAACACGTGAGTTAAACGTGGAGTCTCATGTATACACCTCATCGAGAGGAACCAATATACCTTGCTAGGGGTATAAAGGCATGACTATGGCGTGATCACTCATACTGATGCCCAATAGAGGGGACTTATAATCCTATGTGGGCACGTAGTTCTGGGACTTTGAGGGTACGCTAAACCCTAGTCCAACTCGGTGCTAAGTCTACTCCCAACTGAATACTAATGAAGCTAAAATGCACTTAATACTGAATAACTTAAAATACTGTCATGCTAACTGAGAATGTAACATTTTCTGTTTAACTGACCTAGCAAGTATAATTCATGAACTAGGAGAATTTATACAAACTAGGGTTCTGAGTTTTATACAAGGAATTATGCAAAGTTTCCAAAACATACTATTTCGACTATGGATTCGATAGCAGCTGAAATCACAACAAATTCCCAAGATTTTACAAACCCTAGGTCTAAACAAGCTATGTAGAATCAAGGAACTAACTGAATTCTAGGGCCCCAGTGGATGAAAGGAACCCACTAGTGAAATCCCACATACATGGTGACGAAATCTACGGAGAAATTCTTTAGATTTCTGGGATGAACCTTGAAGAACACCTCTGCTTATTCTTTGGAAGAAACTATCGACTATTCTTTTCTTTCGCTCTAAGTTGGGTGATTTTTTGGAGAATGAGGGTTCTAGGTAGGTTCTGACTAGATTATTTGGCTTAGACTGAGTAAAACGATGTAGTTTAAATGACTAATGCACAGGGAAAAGGAGCAAAACAACCCAGACTTAAAATTGACGAGTGTTATCTACTACAAGACTGACGGGCCGTCGTTTGAACTACCAACCGTCGACTGGGTCATGGTTCATGCTCTGCCCGATAGGATTTCACTAAAACAAGCATAATTTTTACTCTGAGCTTGGATTTTAGTAAACTCGGTGGAGTTAGAAAGAAGATTCAATTATCTTTAATTTGATAGGTAATGGGCCACCTAATTCATTTTGTGCTAAAAGATATGAACGTTTGAAGTTGACCCAAAAGCCATTTTCCTCTAAATAGTTGTTGACCCTCACCTACGGTCCGTAGGTCCAACCACGGACCGTACTGATTGGCCATGGGTGGGATCAGAGATCCCTACATCATGGACCCCACCTATGGACCGTATGTCAGACCACTGACCATCAATGGCTTCCGTGGTTCTGGCACCAGGTCCTAGAAAGCTGCATTTTTTCTATCTTTTCGAATCCGAGGTGTTACAATGGGTGGACCTTATACCTATCATTATAAGCTACTCGTTTTTACAAGTCTAGAAGGTTCATTTCAATATCAACCCAGACTGTATCACAACTATCCCTTTGTGGATTACTCTATGAGGCTTACCAATCAGATTCTATTCAAAGAAATATCTAAGTAAAATTACAAGTGCAGTATGAAAGACAATATACACGGATAGGGTCACAACATCCGTGGAACATATTTCTTATGCTAGTATTTTGGTTAAGGTTAATGTTTACCTGTCCCTGATGGATAATATTGAAATTGAATCCCCATCATGATGTTTCCACCAAAAGATAGACTATGAATGGAAACCCACATTTTGTCATCATTGTATGAAATTTTGCCATACAGAGGAGAATTATTGGGATAAAATAAACTAATGAAAAATGAACCTTCATTCTAGGAAGCCCTTAGAAAAAGGTGATGCAATAGAGGTAGACGAATTCAAAACAGAGGAGAAATATAAAATGGGTGGCTCAAATTAACACCATGGAGAAAATTAACTACATGATCGATATAGTAGGGGAATTAAAGGTAAAAGGAAAGGGTCAGAGTCTCTGCAAAAATACGGTGCATGTGAAGAGTGGGAATCGAGATAGGGGTGAGTAGCGATGTTCACACTAGTAACCATTTTAAATGCTTATAGATAGTCAATGCTTGCTGATAGACATAATGGTGACCCTATCATGGCCCAAAAATCCTCATGATCATATCAACCTAAAATGTAAAGGGCTTGAATCTGCCCAAAAAGCAAAAAAAGTTGAGACTTTTTTTGCAAAAGCATAAGGTGGATGTCTTTGGATATACTAAAACACGAGTACAGAAAAATAAATCAAGCAATGCTCTAAGCTGAAGAGTCTTGTGTTGTTGAAGTTTTGTATTGTCTGAGGACTAGCAATAGTTTCAGTTTGAGATTTATCATAAGTGGGTAATTTACCTACTTATATGGTCCTTGAGCTTACCTTATTATACATTTTTTAAATAGAAAAAGGTGGTAGTTATGGCATTTTACCCCCACCCTCCCTCCAAAAAAAAAGATAAGCTTTCATGATTTACATGCATCTGGGTGAAACAAAGTAAAAAGGTGCAAAAAGAAACTGGAGATAAGCACAGGGTTTGTTGCTAAGAACTAACGTTGATGCGATGCAGTTGCATGCCAACATGCGGCGCCGCATCACTAGTTCACGAACCATAACTCAAGACAGAACGGTTGCTGAAAAGGCCAGTTTTGTGACGAAATGATGCAGCCGCAACTCCAAATGCGAGGCCTCATGTCACCTATCACTTGACGCAAGTTCGCGATAGAATCATCGTAATACTCGATGCAGTCAAGTTGTTGCGACCATAACAGAGATGCATAGCTCAGTGCGTACGTGAAGTCTAATATATTCAGAATTTTTTTTTGCTATTTTTAGAAACTATAAATACCTAATTTTAGAATTTTAACATGATTGCGTGAATATTCAATTTTTTGGTTTTGCTCGAGTCTTGGAGTGTTTTGTGCAAGAATAACATGTTTTGGGATTTCAACCATTGTTGATTATTGAAGTTAATCTTTTGGTTCTTGATTCTTCCTTTTGGTCATTGTATGCATGTTTTGTTTATTTACAATTCAGCTTCTACACTTTCCATGGGTAACTAACCTCCTAGCTAGGGTTGTGGAGCTATAAAAAGGAAGTAACAATAAGATACATTTACATAGATAAAAATTCTAGACTGTAATTTTTGTTGTGGTTAGTTTTTTCGTTTTGTATGTATTTTAAAGAAGGTATGTATTAGAACTTGCTTGTATTTTTTACTTGTTCGTAAAAAAAAAGTTAAGATTAGGAAAAAGAATAAGGGATTCTTTACTTGTTTTGAAAAGAAGTTAAGATTAGGAAAAAGAATAGGGGATCTTTTTACTTCTTTTGAAAATAAGTTATGATTAGGAAAAAAATAGGGGTTTGGGACTCATGTTCCATCTAAGGATTTGAGACATGACGGTGATAATCTACTTGAGACCTAAGTTAAAAGGTGTTAAAATAATATCTAGTACCGCGTGAACTTAGAGTGATATCTTTTAGATGGACCGGAAGGACTCTAGTTTTACTTAAGAAAGTTGACAATTTTACACCCAAGATTATTTAACTAGAGTTTTGTAAAAAATAACTAGATCAACGTTACGACCTAAATGGCAATCAACAACCTTAATTAGTTCCCCTAGTTATTGATAACAACTGAGTTTTTAGTCACTAAATTATAACACAATCAAGTGTTTTAAATTTTACTTTCTGCAAGCATTTTAAAATAAAAATCATTTGTTCTTATTACATCTATGAGTAATATTCTTGCCATACTCTTTGTGGGATTCGACCCAACGTCATTAGGTTCTATATTTATACAACGATCAATTTATACTTCATCAAGAGGTGTAAATTGAGCATATCACTATGGACCTTTAAAGTACTATATATATATATATATATATAAAGATAGTTGAATTTGGCAACATGTTTTAAGACTTGTGGAAAAACTCTTGTTCAAATCCTATTTCAGAATTTGATGGATCAATTTTTTCAAGGCCCAATCTTTTTGTGGGCAAAATTTCAATTTTGTTAAGCACTTTTGGTTCCAATCCCAACTGTAGTGAACAACTCCTTTTAACATCACGAAAGAAACTATATAATCAAACTACTAGTGGGTAACCTATTAATTCTTGTGGAAACAAACTTGAATTTGTTGTATGCATGATTGAAGTAACAATGTAATTGCAAAAAAAAAAGCATTCAAAAGAAAATGATATACTAATTTACAATGTGAACCACATTAAGTGTCACTCACCCTAATGGATTTTTGATTGCCAGAAATTAAGATTTCCTAAAGACTTAAAAACCAAAGGTAAAGAGAAACTATAGATGGAATGAACAAAAGAAAGAAAATAGAGATCCAAACATATATACTTGTCATATGTATATTTTTACATTATTTGTTTAATTTCCCCTTTTGAGGTAGGAAGAAATATTACTTAATTTTGTTGGTAGGTTTAGGAGGTAGTGTCCCAAAGATGATGTCCCAAAATTTTGAAGTGATTCCATATCCCTTATCTTGAAGTTTGAAATGATGGTCCATATGATACCTCTTGAGTGAATGTGAAATTCCTTTGAATGGTTTGCCATGATGTAAGTAGTAATGTGTGCAATCATAGATGATGTAACCCAACAAACCTCCTCCAAGAAAGGCAGGGGCATATGTGAAAGGTAGTAACAATTTAACTACACTCCATAGCTGCATGCATAGTTAAGACATGCATGATGAGTATTTATTTATTTATTAATAAAAAAATAAGAGAGAAGTATTGAAATCACCCCTAAACTCGGGACAAATTATTAGTTTCATCCTCAAACTATTGACAGCTTTTAAAACACTCTTTTACTTGAATAACTAAATTTAAATACACCTCCCCCCCCCCTCCCCCCAATCTTGCAACATCAGTGAAATATTCCCTTAAATTCTCGCCAAATTTAGGGGTGTTTTCAATACTTCTTTCAGCTTTTTATTAAGAGTCTCATGCTCCTACGATAGTTTGAGACCGTGTTGCTTTGTATCATGTGAAAAATCGGGAGTGTATCTAAGTTTAGTTAGTCAAGTAGAGACGTGTTTTTAAGACTGTCAATATTTTAGTGATAAAACTAATAATTTCGGTCAAGTTTAGGAGTGTTTTCAGTACTTCTCTCAAAAAACAATCAACACCATCTATAGGATGAGCTCACTACATTAAAAATGATCTTCAGCGAACTGCAATAACTTAATTGTTGCTAATACATTTTCTTAGAATCAATTAGCACTCTTTGTTAGTTATTAAGTAGTTATAGGTTACTTACTGGGAGTAGGAGAATGGCAGTTGCAGCAGGGGGGAAGACAAGTCTTAGTCCATCCATAGGGTGCTTATGGTGACAACCATGAATAAGATAATGAAGTGTATTTGCCCAATATCCACTAGGCTTCATGTGAAATACAAAACGATGTAAAGAGTACTCCAAAAATGTCCATAAAAATATGCCACCGAGTAATGTCAAAAATAGTTCACTAATACCACCACCTCTTTTTAATGATGTCCAAACCAACCAACCTACGATTGGTAACCACACTGATGGAATTGCCCACCAAACCGTTCGAGTTAAAAGCTCTAAAATATCATTTTCAAAAAATCTTGGACTTCCTTTGCTAATAATTGGCTGATGAACCCACTCCTCATATGAATCTCCAAGATGGCCCACCTAATTCATTCAAAAACATCTTTCAGAAAGAATGTCACATAAAATGGGACGAAGAGAATAGTAATATATGACCTGGAAAACGAGTGGCTTGTTTAAATCCACTGTGAATCCCTGTGCCACCATCTTGGCACCCTGGACCACAACAAGAACAAACTAATTATGAAAAAACTCAAACCTAAAAACAAATATATATGAATGTCCAATCTTGTTAACTCACACCATAACAATATTTATGTTAAATACAAATAAATGCGAAACAACTAAAAACAAATTATTATTGTTGATATACATGTGAAAAGTTATTAAAGTTTTATCAACAAATCTTGGACTCAATATTAAAAATAGAATAAAAAGATTGAGACAGTAATTTGTTTTGACATAACAAAAGTAGAAAAAAATTCTTCAAATTGCATAGATCTAAAAAGAAAGAGAATTAAAGAAGAACAACCTAATGACAGTGTTGTTTGATCTCTGAATATTACTTTGGAGAAAATTTTTTGTATGGGAAAGACAAAAAAATCAAGATAAAATATGAGGGAAAAAAAAGGGGTAAAAATATAGTTAGATATGTCAAGTCTCTAGGAACACATGGGAAATAAGAAAAACACAAAATGCCTAAGATTTAGGAGAGCCTTACACAAGTAAGCAATTTAGCACAACCTCAAAATATTTAATACTCACAACACCAAAATTTATTTTTTTTAAATTATTTTGTTACTTGTAATATGTTTAGTTTTTACATGGGCAGAAGTACTCAGTACCCCCCTGAACTTGAAGCTTTTTATACAGTGTACACCTAAACTAAATTTCGTTTTAATTACCCCCCGAACTTGTTTATTCCTCCGTCGCGTACACCTTTTTTCGTCCACCTGGCGTAGAAATTGACAACAATCTCTACTAGGCGCGTGAGGAAGTGATTTTTTTGCCACATCATAACGCTACAGCGATAAAAAAACGTAAAATCTTCATTTTTCTTTAATATTTGGCATATTTTAAACGAAAAATAAGGTAAAATGCAAATGAACAGTAAAGGAAACAAAGATTAACACTTACTTGGTAAGAATTTCAGACAAATTTGAAATTTAATCGACCAACTTCACGTCTAGAAAAACCCAAATCCAAAAGGAGTTCCGCGAAATCAGCCCTTATTCAAAAATAACTTTTAAACAATGAATTTTAAATTTAAGAAATTTATTTTTTGCAATATTAATTTATCCAGGTGGCTATTATTTATCCAGGTGGAAATCCACATCACCAATTTGGACAGCTGTCGCGCGCGTGTAGTCCCAACAAGAGTAGGTGGACGAAAAAGGTGTACGCGACGGAGGAATAAACAAGTTCGGGAGGGTAATTAAAACGAAATTTAGTTTAGGTGTACACTGTATAAAAAGCTTCAAGTTCAGGGGGGTAATGAGTACTTCTGCCTTTTTACATGTGATCGACCTCCCAATATAATCCATTTTGTAAATATTATTATTGTGATTGTAATTAATTTATTATACTGATATTAAATTTGTATTGATACATGAAAAAATACGTTAAATTATAAGGTAAAGGAAAAAACAAATACTCCTTTATATATGAACAATATAATATAACACAATTACTTGTTATAAATTAACAATTACAAAAAGCATTTTGGTAAAGTAGAAGATGACAACCTGAAAGTTGCGATGGAGAAAATTGAAAGTTATCATCCAAGAGTAGAGCTGTCAAAATGGACTGGCCTAACCCAACCCTAACGGGCTAGAGAGTTAAATGGGTTGGGACGGGCTGGTCCTTTTAATTAAAGGGCCTATAAAATAGCAATCCAACCCAGTCCTAAGCGGGCCACGGGTTGGGACGGGTTGGCCCTTCAACCAAAAAACGGACAACATTTTCCTCTTAGAAATGATACGAACGTTGATGCCCGATGAACACGACATCAATACATACATAAATTCATTCATGAATTACACATATTTCAGTGAATATTTACAAAGCAAATACATAAAAGCCAAGATACAACATTCATAAGATTCACAAGAGCAAAAAAACATTACATGATCACTATTTTCATAAACAAGACAATAAAGGAGAAGTGAAAAATTAGGCATAAAAACAAAAGTAAAAGAGGTCAAAGATTCATAGTTATAATGGAGTAATGGACTTGGGCTAATAAGAAAATTTAGTGGGCTAATGACCCTAAAATGTAAAAGATATGTAAAACATATAGTCTTGATTTTATATTGATATTTTAAAAATATTGATTGACAAAATCTTAACAAATAAAATACTACTTAATATATATATATAATAAATATTTTTAAAAATCACAGCCCACGGGCTGGGCTCTGAGGCTTGCGGGTTGGGCCTACAAGGCCAGTGGGCCAATGAGGCTGGGCTAAAAAGCCTCGTTCCTAAATGGACTGAAAAAATTGAGTCCAACCCCATTTAATTCATGGGTTGGGTTGGACCGGCCTAGCGGGCCAAGCCCATTTTGACAGCTCTAGCCAAGAGGTTAACAACACAATAGTTTTGCCACTAGATCCGTATCACAATGCCAATATTTACTTACTAATCAAACACCAAAAAAATAGTAACAAAATCACTTATTTTTCAAGAAAACGCTTTCTGGAATTAACATATTCCTTCATACATACCAATGTAACGCACCTGAACTTCTAAGAAAAGATTAGAACCATCCTCTGTAGGTGTATAGGTATGAACCTAATTATTTCTAAGTTGTAAATATATGTGAAAGTCCTTTACTAAGTGTAGTAAGTGTATCGGATGTGTTTTAGGGTCGTAAGGTACCTCAAACACCAAACTAAGTTCAAAAACATTTCTATTGGCTAAGCTTTCACATGAGTTCATACAAGGGTCAATTTCAAACGATCATATCTCTTGGCATATAAAGAGTGATTAGCCTATAATCTATAAAAATTAAAGGTCTATAAGTCTTGTTTCCAACGCCACCAAGTTTGCATCAATCGGAGTTCGAAGTAGAAAGTTGTGATTGTTTTACTAGAACATGTCTCGAATGAAAAATTTGGCGATGACACCTATCACTGATACTTTGGCGTATCACGGATTGCATCACCGAAATAGCCTGGAAACCTTCAGAAACTATTAATTTTGGTGCCACACTTTGGCTATCCACCGAATATTTTGGTGATGGTGCCTCCAAATCGCTAATTTGGCCAACAAGATTCATTAAAATATTATTTTCTTCGATTTTCCTGGTGTTCTTACATTCCTAGAGAGTTATTATTGTCTTTATACACTCAATTAACATCCTTATACGTATAGCAATTCTCAAAATTTTGAAGTCTCCCTTCTCCCGAAGATCAAGAACTTCAAGAAAGAAATTTCTTCAATTTCGCAAGAACTGAAGGCTCCAAGTTCAAGATTCTCTTCAAGAATCCTAAGGTTTTCAATCAAGATTCTTTCCCAAACTTCATGTCCAAGAAATATATAGAAGGATTTCTCAAGTTCAAGCTATAAGGTTCCAAGCCCAAAACTTTCCTCCAATAATTCCTAAGATTCAGGTGTGTAGGACTTCAATGAGGAATTCTTTTCATCCTCATGTAAAAAAATTCTCAATTTTCATGAATTTGATTCCATAATTAGGGTTATTACACCCACTTTCGAATTTATCATATTTATGATCTGAATGATATGATTTCTTGAACTTCTTATATAGATTCTTGAATATTGCACTTCATTTTGACACTTAGTAAACGGGTTTTCCATTGTTATCCTTATTAGTTCTGACATATTACTGTTTATGATTCATAAACATTATATTTTAAAACATGATTTTAGAGTCTTTATATTATTATGGAAGTTATTTAAGAAACTACAAGATATGCATGTTCTAGAAATTTTCTCATGATTTGAGAGATATATTTTAGAAGAGATTTTAGTATATGATTTTAGAAAGAAAGATTGAGTTTTGTCTCACACTTTATTCAGACAGATAGATAGTTTATCTAAATATTAGCATATCATATGAGCATATTATTTTGGGAGGATTATTTTGCCCTGAGAGGATACATGTTTAGAAAACTCAAGTCCCATAACTACGTGTCCTCTTAGGTTATAAGTATATGTCACTTTGATGATCAACTCTTTTATCCCTTTGAGGCTCAATTAGTGGATCCATATTAGATAGATAAGTTCTATACCCCGTCAAGGCATAGGGAAGCCCTCCCCAATCAGGTAAGTTGGTGCATTATGAGCTCACAGTGTGTATGTCGATTATAAGAAACTCTTCACTTAAACATTATAATTTTTTCCTGCACATAGTCATAGATAAGATGTCAGATAACATGATTTTCACATTTATATCCTTTTAGATATGATTTCGAAAAGCATGGTCTCAGATGTACATTTTCTTTCAGACTAATTTATTTATGATCTTTCACTGAATTCTTCTTCGGTTGATAATTACATATAATTGAAAGATTCATTATGGATCCCTTTCACAACTTATAATATAGTTATAAATTGAGCTATTTAGTTTTGTTCCTACATATTCAGTATCTTCCCCGTACTGGCCGCATACCTCTTATACACTACATTTTTCAAGTAATATAGATATGAGTGATCATTCTCAGGCTTGTGGGTGGAGAGCAGTGGCGGACCTAGAATTTTGTTCAAGTGGGTTCAAGTTACAAATAATCATGGCAACGATCAATAATAATAATTATCAATTTTTTTTAATTATATCCTTAACAAGTTATTTTGAGATGATATTCCTAACAAAAAATATACTCTATTAAATTTTTATCTACTTACAAGAAAATTTTCCACATATTTTCAATTTAACAAGCTACTTATTACTCATATATATAAGACTAAAACTATAACAATTTTGAAAACCATAAATAAATAAAAATTAGTAAAATAATAAATAAATAAAAATGCACTATCCTAACTTTCGTGTATACCAAGTAAAAAGGAAAATAAATACATAATTTTGTATACTTCAAAAAATAAAACTAAGTACTACTCATCCGTTTCATAATAATTGTTTATTTTACTAAAATTAGTTGTCCATCTTACTAAATCAAGAAAGCATTAATCAAAATTTTCATATATTATCCTTGTAATTAATTCTTTTTGAAAGTGTTCACATTTATTTGTAAAATTCGCAATAAGTTTTTAAGGGGTGGATTAGTAAAATTATTTTCTTCTTAATGATTTCTTAATATGCATGTAAAAAAGAAAATGATAAAATAATATGGATCGGAGAGAATATTTAAAACTATGAACTTATTGTCTAAATTATTGACAATTTTAAATAATTCTCAAATACAAACATTAAAAAAAAAAAAACTTAACTAATAAATTTAGAATTATTAGTTAATTTTAAAAAGGAAAAGTATCAAGAAATTCACATGAACTAGAAGTCTAGATCTATAATAGTCTACATTTATTAGTTAATTTTAAAAAGGAAAAGTATCAAGAAATTCACATGAACTAGAAGTCTAGATCTATAATAGT